ACCCGGCCCCGCCCCCCGGCCCAGCACAAAGCACCTTTGCATAGATCGGGTTCAAAAGGAACCAATTTTACAACAAAGGGGGAGGGGATCAACCCCCCCAGAACGGAAACGGGGGGGGAAAAACGCCCCTCCACCTCCCCCGGACCCCCCCCGACTCTGCTGGGCACGGTCCTGAAAGAAGATGGCCGCCAGGAGACAAGATGGCCGCCAGGAGACAAGATGGCTGCCAGGATTTAAGATGGCTGCCTGGAGTCATGGGAGTTGGCGGGAGGCAAGATGGCCGCCGGGTTTTGTGGGCTGCTCGTAGTCAAGATGGCTGCCAGGAATCAAGATGGCTGCCTGGAGTCACGGGAGTTGGCGGGAGGCAAGATGGCCGCCGGGTTTCGCTGTCAGCTGGTGGTCAAAATGGCTGCCAGGAACCAAGATGGCCGCCGGGCTTCAGTGTCAGCTCCTAGTCAAGATGGCTGCCTGGTCCCAGTAAACAAGATGGCCGCCGGGCTTCGGTGTCAGCTCCTAGTCAAGATGGCTGCCTGGTCACATGTTGGTCAGAGCCAAGATGGCTGCCAGGAACCAAGATGGCCGCCGGGTTTTGTGGGCTGCTCGTAGTCAAGATGGCTGCCAGGAATCAAGATGGCTGCCTGGAGTCACGGGAGTTGGCGGGAGGCAAGATGGCCGCCGGGTTTCGCTGTCAGCTGGTGGTCAAAATGGCTGCCAGGAACCAAGATGGCCGCCGGGCTTCGGTGTCAGCTCCTAGTCAAGATGGCTGCCTGGTCACATGTTGGTCAGAGTCAAGATGGCTGCCAGGAAACAAGATGGCCGCCGGGCTTCGGTGTCAGCTCCTAGTCAAGATGGCTGCCTGGTCACATGTTGGTCAGAGTCAAGATGGCTGCCAGGAAACAAGATGTGTGCCGGGAGACAACAAAGTTGGCAGGAGTCAAGATGGCTGCCGGGTCACGTGTTTGTCAGAGTCAAGATGGCCACCAGGAGGCAAAATGGCTGCCAAGTTTTTGCATCTTTTTTTGTCAAGATGGCTGCCGGGTGTTGGTGTGAGCTCACAGTCAAGATGGCCGCCAGGAGACATGAAAGGTTGATGTGAGTCAAGATGGCCGCCTGGTTTCGGTGTCAGCTCATGGTCAAGATGGCTGCCAGGTAACGTGTTTGTCAGTCAAGATGGCTGCCTGGAGGCAAAATGGCTGCCGGGAGTCACAGAGGTTGCTGAGAATCAAGATGGCCGCCAGGCTAAGCTTGTAATCAAGATGGCCGCTGCATCAGGCGCTGATCAGTCAAGATGGCCGCCAGGAAGCAAAATGGCCGCTGGGTTTCCATGTTTGAGGCCAAGATGGCCGCCAGGTCATGTGATGATTGGATCAAGATGGCTGCCAGGAAGCAAGATGGCCGCTGGGTTTCCGTGTTTGAGGCCACGATGGCCGCCAGGTCATGTGATGAGTGGATCAAGATGGCCACCAGGTCATGTGATGATTGGATCAAGATGGCCACCAGGTGTTGCTGTCCCCTTGTGGTCAAAATGGCTGCGAGGTTCAAGATGGCGGCTGGGCGGAGCCAAGATGGCCGCCCCAAAGGAACAAGATGGCTGCTGCTGATGTCATTGATTTCAAGATGGCCGCCAAAAGGTCACTGTGTCGGCCATATTGGGGTCAATCAAAGGTCACCGCGTCGGCCATATTGGGGTCAATCAAAGGTCACCGCGTCGGCCATATTGGGGTGACCTTGTCGGCCATTTTGGAACATCAGGGGTTCCCCTGTCCGCCATATTGGGGTCACCCTGTCCGCCATCTTGGAGTCAATCAGAGGTCAATTTGTCGGCCATATTGGAACCACCCCGTCAGCCATATTGGGGTCAACCAAAGGTCACCGCGTCGGCCATATTGAAGTCGATCAAAAGCGACCATGTCAGCCATATTGGAACTACCCACAGATCACGTGACAACACCCACTCCGCCGTCGGCCATTTTGTGCTCTATCAACCACTCCACATTGACTCCGTCAGCCATTTTGTATTTCCCCCCCTTGCGCGGGGGCGGCCGCGCAGCGCCGGGGGGGCTGCAGCCGGCGGGGCGGGGCCGAGGGGGAGCCCCGCCCACGCCGCCTCCTCTTCACGGGGGCGGGGCCTCCGTTAGCCCCGCCCCCTCTCCTCCTTTTCGCCGGGGGCCGGGGGAGGGGCTCCCTGCGCCTGGCCCCGCCCTCCTCGCCGCCATCTTCCTGTGGGCGTGGCCTCCTCCGCGGTTCCCTCTGAAGGGGCGGGGCCAGCGGCGCTCCGGGGCGCCCCCTGGTGGTGCGGGGCGGCGCCGGCGAGGCCGGGCGGGGGCTGGGCGGCCGGGACCCCTCCCCTCCCCCCCCTTCGCCTCGCT